TTTGAGATGGAGTTTCGCTGTTGTTGCCCAGACTGGAGTGCAATGGCACGATCTCGGCTCACCGCAACCTCCGCCTCCTGGGTTCAAGCAATTCTCCTACCTCAGCCTCCCGAGTAGCTGGGACTACAGGCACGCACCATCATGCCCAGCTAATTTTTGTATTTTTTTTTAGTAGAGACGAGGTTTCACCTTGTTGACCAGGATGGTCTGGATCTCTTGACCTCGCGATCCACCCGCCTCGGCCTCCCAAAGTGCTAGGATTATAGGCGTGAGCCACCGCGCCCGGCCCCAATGCCCACTTCTGCACTCCGCACCAGAATCTGCACTCAACACTAAACTCTGCACCCGGCACCTAGCCTGCCTTTGGAAAACCCCGCCAAAGTTTAAAAGAAACCCCGCCAAAACCTGCCCAATAGCATTTTGCTCCGTCCAGGTCCCACTCCCCCTAGGCGGCCACTCACTGGAAATCCCGCCTACCTACCAATAGCAGCTTGTGCTGTCCACGTCCTGTTTCTCCACAACCAATCAAAACGCCCTCACTCCCTATAAAACCCCACGCCCAAGCGGCATCAAGCGCGACTTCCCTGGCGTCTTTCCCCTGGACAGTGGAACGTCGCTTGGGAGCTAAATAAATTGGCATTTAATTTTCTTAATAACTGGCCTCAGTTTCCTTATTTTAAACTTGGCAATAACCCTTACATATTCTTCAGTCACAGACAAGCTATGGATTATATAGATGAGTGACAGGGTTACATTGTGATCTAGAAAGATTCTGATGGGGACAGATTGGAAGCAAGGGCTTGGATAGTCTCTGGGAATGGCTTTGTCTGATAAAGGCTGCAGGCCATGGGGTCAGCTTTACTAGCAACTGATTGACGAATGGTAGATGAGTCCCTCCTCTTCCCTGGGCCTTCTTTTCCTCATCTGTAAAGAGATGATATGGAGGCAGTGATGAGAGGGACTGGTGAGGTGATTTGGGAGGTTACTTCCTGCTGAAAAAAAACTTATATTACCAGCTGGTGGTCCAAAAATACACAATAGAGTTAGCTAAATTAATTGCACAGTTGTATCAGTAATATATGTTGTGTTCCTCTTCTTTTTTTTAACTCCTCTTACTATCATTCCCCAAAATGTTGTATTCTTGAAGGCTGTTTAAAAAAGACACATTTGTGCCGGGTGTGGTGACTCACACCTGTAATCCCAACACTTTGGGAAGCTGAGGTCGGCGGGGTCAGGAGGTTGAGAGGTCAGGAGTTTGAGGAGTTCGAGACCAGCTTGGCCAACACGGCAAAACCTCGTCTCTACTAAAAATACAAAACATTGGCTGGGTATGGGGGTGGGCGCCTGTAATCCCAGCTACTTGAGTGACTGAGGCAGGGATAATCGCTTGAACCCAGGAGGCGGAGGTTGCAATGAACTGAGATCGCACCATTGCACTCTAGCCTGGGCAGCAGAGTGAGACTGATTCAAAAAAAAAAAAAGAAAAAAAAAAGACATATTTGTCTTAATGCTAAGTAATATGGGTTAAAACAAAATACATATTACTTTGAAACACTATGAATAAATGGTAGAATCATCCATCTTCAAATGAGATCTTATTTTCATTCATTCAACAAATAGGGCCTCCTCTATGCCTGGCACAATTCTAGGCTCTGGGGATTCACAATGAGCAAAGCAAAAATCCATGTTCTCAAGGAACTATCATTCCACTTGAGCACTTAAGACTGTGTATGTATGTGTGTATCTTGCTCATGGTTTGTTTGTTTTTTTGAGAGGGGGGTCTCACTCTGTTGCTCAGGCTGGAGTACAGTGGCACAATCACAGCTCACTGCAGCCTTGACTTCCCCAGGCTCAGGTGATCCTCCCACCTCAGTTTTTGTATTTTCTGTAGAGATGGGGTCTTGCCATGTTGCCCACACTAGTCTCAAATCCCTGGGCTCAAGGGATTGGGTTGGGTTTGACACTCACTTTCCAGCACTTCGTAAATGTGTGACCAGGGCAGGTTAGTCTTGCCAACTCTCCAAGGATCCCTCTAAAAGAGGGATAACAGTAGTCTCTACCTTCTAGAGCTGTGTGAGGATTAAACAAAACTAAGTGAATTTATATCTACCATGTAAATACTCAACCAGCGATCACTTTCACATCTGTCTGAGATAAGCTGGGTGGAGGAAGGGAGAGGGAATGAGTTCTTCTCATTTTGTTGTTTGGGTGGAAGAGTGAGTCTTGGGTTCTAAATCTGGAGACTTTGGTACTGGTTCTGCCACAGACTGGCTGTATGACTCGGGATAAGTTAACTTCCTTTGAGTCTGTTCCTTCATTTATCAAACAAGATAAAAGCCAACAGGGGTCAGGTATATGTGTTGCAGTGCATGTAATTAATTTTTTTCTTCATTTATACACAGAGAAACTGACACTCAGGGAGGTTAAATTCTTGCCCCAAGGCACAAGACAAGTTTTGTGTTGTGCCTGATGGTCCACAAGGTTTGGGGCCATCAAACTTAGCTATTCACATCTATGTTCAACATCACAGACCCAGTCCCAGCATATTTGTGTCAGGGAAATTCATGATATGGGGCTGCTCAGCTCCTCCCATTTTACTAATAGCAAAAACTTAGGCCTAGGCAGGGTAAGGAACTTACTCAGGGTCACCCAAGATAGTGGCCTCAGTGGACCATGAACCCTTCCAGCCCAGGACCCTTCCAGCCCAGAGAGTCAAAGGCCCATCCCTGCCCTGGCATTGCCAATTGGCCTGCGGGTAAACGGTTTACACTTGGGTTTGGTCACAGCTCCACTTTCCTTATATGCTTGTGTTTTAGTCCATTTGAGCCTCTGTAACAAACACCATAGACTGGTTGGTTTATAAACAGTAGACATCTATTCCTCCCAGTTCTAGAGGCTGAACATTTGAGGTCAGGGTGCCAGCATGGTTGGTTTGTGGTGAGGGCCCTCTTCCAGGTTGCAGACTGCCAATTTCTTGTATCCCCACATGGCTGAAAGAAGGTGAGAGAGCTGTGAGGGGGAAGGGGAGTCTCTTTTAT